ATGTCCACCAGGTTTGCCCCACCGCTCACGACTTCTTGGAACTTCAGGAATAACCTCTCGAAACGCTATATCGCGAATTGACTGAAGTAGGAAATATGGACCACTTGATTCCAATCTAGTGGCATTATGGTAGCGTGCTGGCTACGAAACCTGAATCCGATACCTGGAGGGTCCATGGGTGCGCATCGCTGCGGAGTCTCGTGTTAGGACGAAACAGCTGCCCAGTGCTCCCAGGTTTCTCCAACTGATATCAATCCATGGTGAATATCAACTTGAAATTAAAATTACTAATCAGTCGAATCAAAATGTACTCAACAATCATATACACATTCGTCCAGTGGGCAATGAACCACAACTATTGTATGAGGACCTCAATATATGGGGCTGGGCTCGAACCAGTGACTAACCTACTTATGAGTAGCTGGTGATCAGAATTATTCGCCAATTTATGTGACAGGGAAGTGAAAATTATGATCGACACTTGATATTTTGAAAAATTTAATTGGTACAAATTTGGATTATTTCATATCTCACAACTTTCTTGCTTTTATATCTGCCGCTCAATTAATTTACTGTCGATTTATCTGTTCGTTTTGAAGTGCAAGCACTTTTGATAATCTATCGTCTTTTATTAATATTCAAAATATAATTAAACAAACGATATGCAAGAACCATCAGTCAGCTTTTTCAGGAACAATAGTTAAGCCAGTGTTTCTCTGAAAACGAATCTACTCTTTTCTCAGTTATTTGGAGATTTTACAGTTGAGTTAGACTTTGATGCAAATGAGTGTCCAGAATTCAGACTATTCAACTTTGACATGACAAAAATAAGCTAATAAACTATCAAACCAAAAGAACATTCATATCTCAAACTATACGGATTTACTACCTTTTCGAAATAAATAAGACGTATAACAGTTCAAAATGATGACGCCTACAAAATTTTTGAACGATTCGTTGACTTGCATTCATGTATTCCTTCACCTTTCTTTCGCTATAATCTACTTTAGTATCAATTAATATTTTACTAGAATTAGAAACAATTAGTTCTACAAGTATAATATACATAAGAAAACAGAGGTTATCTGAGAAATGTGATATATCATGAGCAATGCATTTCGAACAATTTGGTAACGCAACTACTTCTCAAGCCATTTTGTATGAAAAATGAAAATAAAGTGGGCTAAGGCAAGTAAATCAGGATAAGATAGGATTTTGAAAACATTACGATAATGAGAAGGAATAATAATCACAGTACTTCTGTCACCAAAAAGACTAAAGAGAATCTGATGCGAAAATTATTGAGATTTCTTTCGAATGACACGCATATGAATCTTTTTCTGATCACTTCGGATAAATATGTGACTAATCTTTCATTTATTCAGTCGTCTGTTATCGATAAAGAAGTTTTGTTTCTTGGATTTAACTTTTTCTCATGTCAGTACAAAAACGTTTCAAAACTACTCAGTATTCTGTCTCGAAAAAAGACATTTACACCGTATTACCGTATAAGGCAGAATCAAGTAGAATGATCTTAAGATGAAGGCATAATTCAGTTATTTGAAAAACATGCTATTCAACCAAGCTCAATATTACAGAGAAAATGTAATCTACGCTTCAAAATAAACCTCATCACTACATAGAGGATTCCGTCACATTCCGCAGTTTATGCCAATTTACATGTGTGCGAGGTGACACATACATTTTGAGGAGTAATCTAACTATGAAGTCTTTTTCTTATTACATTCTTTCTCTGCTTACTTACTCTTATTAACTACTGCAACGTGTGATATCGTAGACTGATGTACTTATGTACATGTGAGATCTGTCAATCTTACCTTTTTATAATCTCATGTGAATTGCAGGGATATAAGTAAGGTTTTCGACCATTTCAGTAGTGATAAACTGCATAACACAGAATAGTTAGTCGTAAAATTCAAGGACACAACGGAACACGGTTGGGCATTCGAATATACCAGGTATTTAAAAAGCGTAAGCAATCAGCTTATATCAGAACAGGGTCTGGAATTACTGTGCAACGGTCCCAGTTGCCACATCTCAAAAAACCAGCACATTGAGGTACGGGGTAAAAAGATGAAAGAAGGAGAAATAAGGTAACCAAAGCAGCAGAAAGTTGTTAAAGGGTCAAAAGAATAACGAAATTCGGTATGACAACAGGGACGAGAATAATGTCTGGAGGCATATGTATCACGGAGATTGATTCTAAAGTCATTTTGTAAACAGTCTCCAACAACTGACTTCCATTTTAATGCCGGCGCAAGCACGAAACTTACGTTTTTTGCACGACTAAGACCAACAGGTAGACTCCATAGACCGGTATCATATAAAAATCAGGGCAACTCCAATCTACTTCTAGCCTATGTGCACTTCAACTAGTATTGCCTCACGGTAACTAGACATAGCTACACATGTCGCAGGCATCAGTCTATAGAGGTTCACAACCTGATCAACTAACTCACCTCTTCTACCTAAAACTCTACGCTTATTTTATTATTCACGCATTGGCAACCCGAAGGTAATGGTGATCCAACACCTGAAGACTTCTTACTTCCTCTACCTTCACTAGCCATGTTTCCCAGATATATGATACACAGGGGTTAAGTGCAGCGCAGTACACTCAACTCAATCAAATGCAGTGCCGGCGTCAAAGATGAGGTGGGCTGGCAAAAGCCAGAACTTTTTGTTTACCGGACGAGATCTCGTCAGCCACTGATCTACTTTCCTAAGTAAGAGGGTCCGTGCCTAACCGCCCCACCCTTTTTCGTCAGAAGAGATACCTATGCAGGCCAGTCCATGAGTAACAAATTCTTGGGGCAGAGATACGCACCTCAAACCTTTTTGAATAACCACTCAAGGTGTCCAGAGGAGTGTCCACCTAGCAGAACTGTCATTCGTGTACAGAAAGTGCACTAGGGAGTATTCTGTAGGTCAGATAAGAGACCTGCGTAAGTTTCTGTAAGAAGACTAAATAAGAAAGGAGTGAACATCCTTAGCGTGCGCTACTCACCTGATAAACTAGCATGCGCTCGAATGCCAACGCGTGACCGAATTCAGAACACTGAGAAGAGTGGTGTACCTAAGCTGTACACTCTGGCATAAAATCTCCTGATTGACGGAGACTGATACCACCTATCAGTTAACTGGTACCCGTAAGTGTATCAATATTCGAAGACCTGGTACCATGAACATTTGATTTATACATGCATAATTAAATCTGAAACCTACGTGGTTTTTCAAACTATTCAATTAACCTGCACCGTCCTAAAAAAACTTAGTGTAAGCTCACCATAACCTGCTGCCCCGTCTCGTTCTCAATTACTACAGCCTTCTTAACTTTGGTAGTGGTTCCGAGCTTTATCTGAACTTTCCACCCAGGAAGCGACTGGGAGCCGCATAAACTGTTCAGCCTGTTGTGTCTGATGCCAGTGAACCGTAGACTCACTTTCTGCGCTGTTCTCACTAACTTAATTCATTTTTTTTCAATAAGTTTAGTCTTCTGATATCTATCGCCACTGCCTTAATACCCTTTAGCATTGACGGCTACTCCACAGACTATTTGTTACCCAACGCCTAAAATGAGTCCGCCACCCATTGTTTCCACTCTTAACTGAAGATAAGTTGGGTCTTCAAGGACAAGCAATGACACCAGGTTTCTTGAGGATGAGTAATACATATATTCTGATAACGTTTTAACCAGCTCCTCTTCGAAACAGCCTAAGCCTCTTCACCTTCAACGTGAGATCGGAAATTCCTCGTTTTTACGTCCATAAGAGCAAATACGTTTAGGGACCAATGCATGATCACTGTTCAAGCAAGTGTTCTAGCTGCAAGAATTATTCATTATCTCTACAACGATAAATTGCATAGACATGATCTTAGCCCTTTCTCAAGTTGGAGCTGATCAGTTATGTGAGTCGGTATCTTTCTCCATGCCTGGAATTCAATCTGGTTAGACACACGTGATTGTCTGAACGTATTTGTATCAGGCTACCTTTGCTACTGGTTTTCCCAAATGGAATACCGGGTGTACCGACTGAAGGCTTTTAATAGAACACGGATATCCTATGAACTCAATTATCTATCACGAGCTGCAAAGCTATGACTTGAAGACTAAATGGGATCGTTAGTATAGAATTGTGAAGAAAATCTGGATGGTGTTTAGAGACAAACTTCAGCCTCAACACAAGTGAGTTGGTGACTTTTAACAGCATGGAAGAATTCGGAACGCCCTTGTGTACATTTGTGCGGTAGGCAATGAACCACACCCAGTGTGTGAGGGCTAATGATACTACCTCGGTAGGTGGGGCAGGGTTCGAAGCCGTGGGCCCATTGGTTGAAAGTCATCTCCCTAAACCAATGAACAACAGCTCTACACAGACAGCAGTATCGTATTTCCCTCGTACCCTCACCAAGGCATTAACCATTTACACTTCGGCGGTGTCCCTTTTGGTCTTACAATTATTCAACAGACCTTTCCAGTACAGTAAGAATTCAAGGGACCATAGCTTCAACCAGCGTAACCATATACAACCAACCTGATATATATATATATATATATATATATATATATATATATATATATATATATATATATAAGCGTAGTAGCTTCAAGTTTCAAAGTAATGATAAGTCGTATTTCCGACAGCTTTAGACTGAAAAATTGGAGAACATTTATAATGAGGTCAAAACTCAAAAATGTCACCCAATAACCTCTATTTTGCGGCGTTGCTAACCGCATCCATTGAATTCCCGCTTCAATGAACAATATAACCTTTATATGAACTTGAGTAACAATTCCAATAGGTACAGACATTAACTTATTATTCTAAAAGGTAGGAATGTATTCCCGCCAACAATTAAGTATAGAACTATGAACCCCCAATGTAGTGTAACTTCACCCAGTACAAGTCTAAGCAGTAGGCAACAAGTCACACTTGAGCGGCGAATCCCTACACCAACCGTTTAATCAAACCGCAGTTGATAGGGAAGCGATTTTAATTAAGAACCCATTGGTTGGAAGTCGAATGATAAAGTCGCTATTTCACATGACTAACTACTCATATAATTAATATCATATAAACATAGTTAATCACAGTTACAGACACTCTAAAATATACTTAACTACTAATTTTCGACACATCAAACACAGATAGATTCTCGGACCATTTCAACAATTAAATCTGCTTTGAGTCAGTCAAAGAGGTCACAAGATCCAAGTTTACTTCAAAAAGATGTAGGTACGACACAAAATGTTACTTAATATTATCAATGAGATGGACAAAAGACTTTGGCAAATCAAGGCATTTCATCATTATTAAACATCTAGGAGATTCCATGTCAAGAGAGCGAGGAAGAATAATATTTATCCACTTTTCATTAGTACATAATAATTAGATCACTTTTTCAAATCAGTAGAATAAAAGAGGACAGTAAGTCTCAGGGAGGTCCAAAAATAACAATCAAAAAATTCCTGAAAGGTAAGAGACTATTCACCAGGAATTTTACACAATCAATATTGTTCAAAAGTCAGTAACTCCAAAAAACCAGGCAAGAAACCACAACTATATCAAACAATTAAAATAATAGTCCGCAGGAGAAGACAAGTGTTTGCAGTAATGGAGAAAGATAATTCTAGATTTCGCAAAAAAACGAATACACTTCGAGATCGTTTGAAAACAAACTCAGAGCACAAACAGTGAAGTCTAAATGTGTACATTTCTGGGCGACCTGAAAGAAGAAACAAGATTACCCGGTGGATGTAGGTAATATGGATAAACACATTGCTTGCTGTTCACAGTTAAGTGATTTTTGAGAAAATGAACTTGAAAATTGAAATACACTCTCGTTTTTTAAACTATACACAAAAGTGATGAAGTGAGACCTTGAATCATTTTGACTGTTCATTGGATGATCCAAATTCAAAACTGCTAGGAATAACTGGTGAGAAAGCGTATCCTCCTGCTTGCTCAATCATTTTGGACTCTGAAATGATGAAATGGAAGTAGAGATTTGCGAGGTTAAAATAAGAAAAGTATAACAAAGGAAATAGAGTTGTTCTCAATATTCCTATAACTTTTACTAACATAAAAAGTATTAAATAATAAAATCAGTAGCCAAAGCAAAAACCTATACACCTAAGAACATTGCAGTGAAAAAACAATCCATCGTTCAAATATTATTGTTGAAGTGTGCACTGGTTACACTGTCTAAACACAGACAGATGAAATTACCTTTCTGTTGAATACATTTTAGAGCTGTCTCCACGACTTCTTTGAGATCTTTCTGCTGTTGTTCAGTAAGGTGGTTGATCAACTGACCATACCACACAAAATCAGACTGTTCCAAGTCCGTCATCACTCGGTAAAAAGTAACGTACTCATCCATATCACATTCAGGCTTGTCCATTTGTGTATCAAACAGTTCCAAGGTTTCTTCATCATCAGTTTCGTCATCGTCGTCTTCGTCATCAATAGAGTTGTCCTGAAATATGAAGCAAATAGTCAGTTACACCAACTTAATGATATGAAAATAATATGCAATGACTCAATCCGATCCAGGTTAATCTACTACGCTACAAGCCATAGTTACTATGCGACGGAGCATGATAATATCTGGTCGTCCAGGGTGGGTATGAACCCAGGAACCATTGGTTGAAAGCTAAGCGCTTAAGCTAGTGAACCACATCACCAACTATATAAGGGTCGAAGCCTGTTGTCGTTTAGCGCTTGTTAAGTTTGCAAACTGCGGACAACAGAGTACCAGAAATTAGAAGTCTGCAGTTTCATCGTGCTAGTGTTTCTAAAGTAATTAATTCATGCTGAAATAACAGAACAGGACATTTCAAGATATACCATAATCACTGCGAAATCGGAAGCACTCAGATATGTTGCTGAAGCATATTATCAGTCCTTTCGCTACAATTGATAGCTCTCATGCTAAAATCATGCTAGACATGATAAGCTAGAAATCCGGTTACAGTTCAGCCGATTCAACAATTTACTGATAAGACATATTCTAGAATGTGTCAGCTAGTGAAAATGTTGTAGCATTTTAATTACAACCACCAAATCTTAGAACATTACAGTTATATGTGGGAATTGACACTTCCACAAGATTGCATCAACAGCGAGATAAAGTGTATATACACGACCTCACATTTCAATTTGCAAGTTTTTGCAAAATTGTTTACTGATTTCAGATTAGTATTCATCGTGGACTGACATCAGTTGTAGTAACATTAAAAACCTGGGAGCACTGGACAGCTGTTTCATCCTAGTATGAGACTCCTTAGCAATTCGCACTCACGACCTTCAGGTTCCGCGGCTAGCACGTTACCACTGAGCCACTGGATCGGAATCTGATGGTCCATATTTTTTACTTCGGTTAGTTCACGATATAGCGCGATCTTCAGCCAATGAGGAAAGTAATCAATGATAGAAAGTCATAAAAAGATCATACGAAGGAATGAAACAACCGAAGCCTGAAGTATAGAACCTTTTTCCGTTTAACAACTTGATAAGAATAGATTAACAGAATCAGCCAGAGACAAAATAATAACTGATAATACAACCTAATGCGGTTTCGGTGTTTATGCACTAAGTTAAGAGCCGCATTTATAGTGATGACTACACGTTTGTCTAGACCGAAGTATCTGAAGATAACTTTCAAGCTAGAGCCCACTGATTGGAATCAAAGTGCCTACCACATTGACCAAATCCTACTCTCATACTAATAAAACGTAGGCAAGTGTTGACAAGTCACACTCCAAGTATGCGACAAGACGAAGTTTCCAGTTTCCGAGTGCCAAAGGCAGTACTTAAAGAAAGTAGAGATAAATAAACTTGTGTAGCGGCAGAGATTAAAACTACATTTAGTGAGTTCACAGTGAGCAAGTGTAAGATTGTTCACAAATAGGTTTGGACATAATCGGATTTATTTATGGCAGCCATTATGCAAAAAACAGTGGCTTGCTGAGAAGTTTAAGCACAGAAAACCATATTATCATTTTGGTGGATCCATTCAGCTTGTGGTAACCTGAACTGGTGCGCTTTTATGTTGATTTGTCTGTCCAGCATCAATTCATAGTGAGAAATAAACCTACAGGCAAACTATAAAAAAATCCCTTACAACAAGTTATTTTTGCGTCCTGTTCATTAAAACTACAGTGCAAAATAATACCTACATCTCCTTCTAGCATTTCTAGATAACGAACGCTTTCTTCGTCCACTTCATCTTCATCGCTTCCCAATGCCTTTCCATCTAAATCTTCTTCGCTATCAGATTCTTCTTCCGATGAATCTAAAAACAGACACACATCTTCAATATCTCATTTTATGTTAAAATAATATACTGATGATGTAATAAACAGACATATAATGATAACCTCAACAGAACTGACTAATATGTAGTACAGTAATCTTTTAGCAACTATTAAACAATTTTGATAGAACGGGACATAAAGCGAAATACTACCCGAAATATATGAGTAGTAGAAATTATCTTTTTACCGTCTTCATTTTGATCAGACGCTTTCGTTGCATATGCCTTCTTTAGTCCAGAAAATAATAATAATAATGTTGGAATAAATTCTTTACAAGATGCCATTATTGCATTTGTTCTTTTGTCAACTGGTAAGGAGATTAACAAACACAGCCCCAAAACACATATACGTCTGTTATGTAACCTGAAAGGGAAAGTAAACATCTGTACTAGTTCAATTGGATAAAAATGAAACACAAATAGCGAGCATTTCACTCCAGTAGGTAATCCAACTAGGAAAATCCTACTGAATACAGAAGTGATGATGAGGAATATAACTTTGCATAACACACAAATATAAACAACAAATCCGGTTACATGTGATATTTTGTACGTGACATTAAATCCACACTTGCATGGAGATCACAATAGCACCAAATGATACCTAGAACTCCAGTAGATGATTCAGGCTTCGAAGCAATGATTGGTTACACTAAAGGGTGCTATGTAGCAAATTAAAATAACCCACCTTTTTGCTAAGTACTACGTCGATATGTTTAGTCAGAGTTAACGTTTTTACCTACACATAAAGCTCTATGATAAAAAGTTAACTACCAAACCACTGACAGGGATAGGTTACATATCATATTTAAAACAGAGATCTAATGAATCAATCAGGCTATGATAGAAGTGCACATAAATGGATTGAATCATTACTTAATCTGACTCGCTGTTAGTTGGAACAAGATGCTTAGGCTAAACCACGGCATATGCCTTTGATGTCGCTTAATGGTAGGTTATCTTACGTAGGCTTCTTAAATGAGGTCGGTGAAGCAACAGAGATAGCTGGTTGACGGATATGCTAAAATCTCAGTGGTGTAAATGCAACCAAGCTTTATCCTCTGCTAAACTATAATATGTATCCATGTTCTCTTAAGCGAACAGTATTTTCACCTCGACATTTTGCTTCTTACTGACTTTCACTTCAATGTGCTGATATGAAGTGGACAATGAAAGCCAATATGCAATTATATCACGGTCCTAGGCTGCTTTTTCTTTTTATCTGCCTATCGAGTCATCTTGAAAGTCAACGATGTTAATCGTTTGACTTTATTAGTTAAGCACTTTACACAAACCCGAAGCAAGAGAAACTTACCCAAGGAAGCAGTCTGCATCGTGAAGCCATCGTTTCAAGAATTCAGAGAGAATATTAGCTTCAGTCCCAGGCCACGGATGCTCTGTCATCATCTGGAGCATATCCATAGGTGAATAAAGTAATCCGGCAATCACAACCTAACAGAAAATTGGGCATTTTGAAGATGATCGTCTGAATGAATATAAATAAATGATGAATACTTACTTCAAATAGCAATGGGTGTTTAGTCTCCTAAATTACTTTTCATTACCTACCTAAAAATCTATATCTAGCACCAATAATACCGACTCAGTCTGAGAATGCCTTGAAATTCATGTCGACTTACTAAGAGACACTGGAGTTCACAAGTGTCATGGTAACCCCAGAAACAGAGGGAGCATATGACAGACAATACTGCAATCGGAACAGACTACGAAATCCATTGTGAAAGCGAATGAAGCACCTTTTTTCTTTTGACACACTTCTGGTAACTCAAGTTTTCGCTGCAGAAACATTCAGAGGTATTTTAAATTATCTTTAAGTCCTAATAATGATTTTTAATAGGTTAGGAAATCGTTGTCCTACTGCAGCAGATATTTCATACGACACCTCTCCCCACTAGATGTTAATGTTCACAATAAACGTAATTTGAATCGTTATAAATTTTATGAAGGTTATAAATATTTACCTGCAGGCAAAGTGTTCTCAGTTCGCTTACAACAAGTGGACGTGTAAGACGAGCAAGAGCCATTTCAATATACTTCGGTACATAGGGGTTTATTTGACCCCGATAGTCGAGTAAAATTACCTCCAATAACTTTGCAGCATGCATTTGTAGCCTTTCTTGATCATCCATTTGAAATATCTACAGACCAGAATACCAAGTAGAACGAGCTATTATAAAATTAGGAAAAGCTTTTATATATATATATAAAGCGGCAAGGTTGTGCATACGGCTAGCAACCATACCCCGTAAAGCCAATCCAATAGCTTAAGAAACTTCAAAGCACAAACAAAATATAAAACATAAAAACAAACCCATTCCTCACCGGAATCGGGGAGACGAAATGACGCCGGTCGGTGAAATCCTTCGGGAACCCAGTCGGCCAATGTGTCTTTCCTCCCTCCCTCCCTGTCCCTCTCAATGAAAGCAAAAGCAAGCATAGGGACATGGAATGTCAACACAATGTATGAACCTACCAAGGCTGCCCAGATTACAAAAGAGATGAGAAGATACAGCAAAGAAGTGCTAAGAATCTGTAAAAGCAGAAGGAATGAAGGTGGGCTCTCCAAACTATCAACTGGAGAGTCAATAATCTACTCCGATATTGTCACCAACACGACAACCACCAGCACACTGAGTTTTAGAGTGGCTATCATGGCGTCTCTAGGAGCATCGAAGGCTCTTGCGCATGCAGTGGGAACCAATATCCTCCTCCAGGATCAGGCAGGATCATGACAGCAAGATGGATTCAACTCAAAAGAAAGAAGAGTCACAATCATTCAATGCTACGCTATGCACCTACAAATAATGCAGATGAAGAGAAGGAGGAATTTCACAGAAGACTGCAATCAACAAGACCACTCCCCAGATGGCGACATCAAAATTCTAATGGGTGGGGTGACATGAATGTCAAACTGTGGGGAGTGGACAATACAGGAAGAGAACTCATCCATCATCGGTCGAGAAGCACTCGATGAAATGAATGATAACGGAGAACTGTTTGCAGATTTCTGCGCATTCAACTATTTCGTGATTGGAGACAGTGTGTACAAACACAAGGATATTCACAAGGCAGCGACATGGATTTCAATTCACCAGACACCAGGACACACTAAACATCAGATAGACTTCATTTCAATGTGAAGCAAGTGGAGACGCAGCCTACCAGACACAAGACCAAGAAGGAGAGCAGATGTAGGTTCACACCACTATCTAGTGAAAGGAACACACCTTCAAAATCAAGTTGAAAGCCTTCAAAGAAGCTGGTGATGATGGACCACAGTTTGAGTTCAACACCAAGAACAGAAACTGAAGGACGAAACTACAAAGAAAATCTTCACGGCAGCCATCAGGACAGAACGGGCGACATTAAGCAACATATCCAAGGAAACCTGTGTGGAAGAACACTGAAACTCTTTGAAAGAGATGTTTAAAGAAACCTGCATAACCGTGTTGAGAAGGAAGAAGAATCAAGACAAGACAAGTCAAGACAAGGAATGGATGTCAACGGACACATGGAAGCTGATAGAGGAGGGAGAGGAAGATGGTGAAGCAGATGAACAAGTGCAAAAATGAACAATGAGAAGACGAACTGAGTACAACGTATAAAACACTACATTGGACAAAGTAGTGAAGAAGAGTGCACGCAAAGACAAAAGACACTCCTACGACACATTGGCAAGTGAAGCAAAACAGGCTACTGGTAGGAGAGACAGAGACCTGACAACACTCTCAAATAACCAGGTTACTATGTGGGAGGGAAGAGATCAACTCAGATGAAACCAATGAAGAAAGATAGTGAAGGGAGGCTAGTTAGCAAAGAGGAGAAACAAAGGAAACAATGGGCTGACCACTTCAAAAAGCTCTTGAATCGACCACCACAACCACCTCCAGCACTGCCACCTGCAACTCGTCCAGAAATACCACCAGCAGCCAAGCCACAGAACTACCAGTGAACACAAGCCCAGCAGGACCAGACGGAATTCCACCAGAAGCACTGAAAACAGATGCAGAGACAACAGCGGACATGCTCACACCACTACTTCAGAAGGTTTGGAAGGAGGGAAGGTACCTATCCGTTGATTGGAAGAAGAAGTACCTTGTCAAACTCTCAAACAAGGGAGACCTAAGCCTTTGCAAGAACTGGCGAGGAATCATGCTCCCACCCCACCCCTCTGTCCACCCCAAACAAAATACTATACCGCATAATCCTGGAGAGACTAAAAGATGCACTGGATTCAAAATTATGATTGGAACAAGCTGGCTGGATTCAGGAAAAACAAACCATGTGTGAATCAAATTGCAACGCTATGCTACGCATCATCATAGAACAGGGTATAGAATGACAGTCAACCCTTTACCTCAACTTTATCGACTTTCAAAAGGCCTTCGACAGCGTCGACAGAGAAGCAATTTGACAGGCAGCTGCTTCAACACTACTGCTTTGGTGCCACAAATCTTTATCAGCCTCATTCAACAGCTATATGAAGACGCCACATGCCAAGTGATCCACAACGGCTCCACAACAGTTCAGTGACGCCTTCGTAGTGAAGACAAGAGTAAGATAAGGCTGCCTAATATCACCAATGATCTTCCTGATTAAGGTCGACTGGATCATGCAGCCAACAGTGAGCAGCGAGAAGATGGGAATACCCTGACTGGACAGGGGAGAAGATCCTAGATAGAAGATTTGGATTTTGCCAATGATTTATGTTCGATGTCGCACAAACTCGAAGATCTACAGGCAAAAACTAACAAGTTGGAAGAAGAAGCAGGACAATGAAGATGGGACTTCCTTCAAGTGAACGCAGAGAAGACAGAGGTGATGAAGATACCCAACGAACAACAGCATCAACAACAAGCACCAATCACCACAAACGGGAGAAACTTGAAGGAAGTAGCCTCTTTCACCTATCTAGGCAGCATCGCTTCAACTACAGGCGGCACAGACGAGGATGTCAAAATTAGGATCTGAAAAGCAAGACAGGCTTTCATTAATTATGAAATCAGTGTGGAGCTCTACTGCACTCAGCACAAAGAACAAGATCTGTGTTTTCAACACCAATGTCAGTCAAGTCAGTGCTTCCATGTGATGGTTGAGAGAATTGGTGCGTTACGAAAATCATTTCCAACAAACTACAGACTTACATTGATGGCTGCTGCCTACGCTAACTCGACACTGACGATTAGATGGCCAGAAAGAATAAGCAACAAGGAATCTATTACCCAACAAATATGCAGAAGAAAGTGGAGATGGATTCGACTGGACATACACTGAGAAGACCGATTGGGGACATCACGCGCCAGACCAGTCGCCCGAGTGGAATCTAAAAGGGAAACGACGAGTTGGGCGTCCGAGGCTAGGGTGACATGGAGGAGATCATATGAGGAAGAAATAAAAGTTTGTGGGCAGTCGTGGCGCTAGGTTCAAAAGACTGCAGAGAACAGAGTGCAATGGAGGCATGCTCCAATGTTCCACTAGGAACCCAAGGGAAAAATAATAGTAATAAAATAAGCTTACCATATTATTAAGTTAGTCACAAGAAGTTCGATTAAAATTCATCTCGACATTGATGTTGTAGTGGCCTTGACAGTTTAGGTTGTCTTGGTCACTACCCGATAGATAATTACTTTGAAAGGTCATTTCAATGGAAAAAATAGCTGCTATACCAAATGAATGTTAAATACTTTCAGGAATGGTAAATAAACTATGATTCATACCTACCTCTGAGCACATGGTTGTAACTTGTTCGATACGTTTAGGATCGGATAGAAAAGCCGCATGATCTACTGTTACGTAGTTATGCAGACATGGCATTATTTCTATGAAAAAGAATAGAAACAAAAAAGCATGGTGACTGATTAAAGGTTTATCTTTTTCATATTCAGGTGTACATCTACTTCCAAAAGTTTATTAAACAGATAGGCAGTTAAGAAAATATAAGGCGGAATATCTTTGATACAGTTAAGTGAGTCAGTATTTTGGTAGAAGAAAATGAGAACAGTATGAAGAGAAGATAAAATCCACTTGTGTTAGCGAATAACTTCAATATCCTTCGGAACCACACCTAAGTGTTTTACACAGCATTTTGAATACACTTAGAAAACCAGAATTCTCTCGCATAACCAATGTCAAGTGTGAATAATGAGATAAAAATTGACTGCTACTATTACAAATCCACTAGCTGCTGAAGAAAAAAAATAAAAAACAAGATATACTTCCTTTCAATGGGAAGCGAGTGTAGTGATTTCACTGGACAGTCACTCATAAACGAAGTGATAACTAGTATACCAGAAGTCCATCATATCGGCATTTTCAGGAGAAGCCACCAATACATTAACTACAGAGGCATGTAAATAATGTTCTAGTATACGAGTTGTTCATCAGTGGGTAGTCCATGTAGATGTCCAGTCCTCAGTGGTGGTCACCGTCTATCAACCAAATTCTGCAATAGTGAGACTAAGCGAAGTATAGTATTGTGTAGTTTACCATAATAAGACTACTAGTCTTTAAGGAAGCAAACCTGAAGCCTACCAATGCCTCATGCAAGCAGAAGTGGAATCGAACGAACACAGTCAGCTACCCTGTGTACATGCGTTCAGTAGGTGATGAGTAACATTTATCGTGTGAAGGCTAGTGATACTACCTGGCTACCCAGACCTCGGTAGGTGGAGTGATGTTTGAGCCCGCGACTCACTGGTTGATAGTCATCTTTCTAAACCTCTGAGCCACAGCTCAATACGCGACCGGAAGTCAAAAACATCAAGTAAAATGATTCTGGTTGGAAAGTTATTTCAAGGTTTAAAGAACGTTATGACCTTATAGCAAAAAAAACGAGTACGTACCAGAAAAGCATTCGCACGCATCTCTTTTGAATACAGGATATAATTGGTCAAAAAGTTGCCACAAAATTGGAGATATCTTTTTGGTTGTCAGCGAGAAGACGAATGTGAGTGCCTCATCATAAAACTCGCTCACATTACGATCAAATATACACTGAACTAAACGCACAACAATAGGCTCAAGTTCTGTAGTAACATTTTCGTGATCTTCAGCCACCTGCAGTATGGACTCCATGTTGTCCAAAATGCTGGTAGCAACTATACACCTATTCTCGAAAGTACCTTCTGCGTCTTCATATTCATTTGTTTCACCAGACAGTCCATTTTCAGATGAATGAGCAAGTTGAAGGAACGTATCACACTGGAAAAAAAACAATCAAAAGGCACATTTAAAGGAAGTGTGACAAAAACTGTCAGGACAGTAATGTTGAAGGGTATGATTATTCTCCATAAAATTTGCTACATAACTAGTATCTTATATTTATATTTTGCTTCAATACTCCTTGGTTGTAATTAGATTTATTTGGTGGCAATATTATCACTACTAATTAACCAACTAATACGAGATTTTTAATCATCCTAATGGCCACTTTGTGAATTCCATGTGATGCTGTAAAAATCATGCCTTTTTTATCGCTTGTTGTCGATCACCCTAGCGGTTGATAAATTTGTTCTTTTTGTTTTGTATTGTTCATTAATCGTAGTGTTTTGGGAAGGAAACCGTTCAGCTTTAATCAGCAATAGCCTCATAATATTATACCATCTCCAATTTTAACGTTAACCATAGCTTACCAAATTCTGCATAACCACAGCAGCAATTGGAATCATCTCTTTCTCAAACGAATGTATTAGCGTTCCAATCACATTATTCAAATCATCGAATTCAGTCTGTCGGAGAAGCTCCAGTAAACCTAAAATGATATTAACATACAAATATTCAAGAGGAATTATACTACCATGACAGACAGACAGATATACAGAATCAACGTAGAACCCCATACAAGTGCATTACTGCAAGTTGCCACAATTCACTGTAGTATACAGAGAACAAGTGCATAGAAAAAGTGATATCAAAGTATACAAACTTTTGTGAAAGAATCAATAATTCGAAGATAACGGTTAGTGCAAACAATTCTGATGACGACTTTCTATAGGCCTTGACACAACTGAGTTCGAGTAGAGAGCTTTGATTAGTGTTATACACTTGCTCGGTACTCCCTTCACACTCAGACTTCCACAACATCTCGTAGTCAAGGTGGTCGACACAGTTAAGAAATGTAGCAACTCTCGGTTATCCGCGAGTATACCTTTATTCCAAAATTCCACGAAGGATGAAGACCTTTTCAATCCACCTTTGTCCAGGTCCTCCTAGCTTTTGCGAGTTTCTTATTTTTGGGTCCTGTTAAGTCATTGCATAACTACAGATCCTAGGGTCTCAAACACAATGTTAGTCAGACTGAATAGATTATGGTTTCCACAAGTTTTTCTTCCTTCTGAAAAACTGGAACGATCAGCGAAGTACATCAAGTTGACGGCACTACCTTTGGTCTTCATACGCCAATGTGTATGTCCGTTACTGCACTCAGTAATTTACTACTGCCTTGATTGTATTGTGTTCTCTGAGCTGAGTTGCTTAGTCGTGGAGCTTTCATCGTCTTTCTAGACCACATCATAATGAAGTTAGCGCTGACGATGTGGTCTAGAAAGACGATGAAAGCTCCACGACTAAGCAACTCAGCTCAGAGAACACACAACCAATACCATCCATCATTTCGATTTACTACTGTCCTTATACACCATTTTGGTAAACCGTTAGGTCCCGCTGCCTTGCATCGTTTCAGGTTTGATACGACCTTCTGAACTTCAAAGAGAACTGGAGGACCGACATAATCCTCCCATTTAGGTTGAAGCCGTATGTTGGACAACTGAAGCGTTGCTGTGAGCCAGCTGAACTATGCTTTAAAATGTTCCACACAACGTTCTACCTACCTGTCCTCGGAGGTTATCAGCGTCCTAGCCATTTCAGTGATTTCACTAACCATCGTCTTTTCCTTGCCAGTGTCGTTAATAAGCCTAAACAGTTGCTGAGCGTTACCCAACGCTGACGCATTCTCTCTCTCCCTCTCATTACCCTCCATTGATCGCGATCATTGAGAAGACTCTTGGTCGATTTATGTTTGAGTTGCTTTCACTCTTCGTCGTGTTCACATGTAGCTGGAAGCAGTCTTCTCGCATCAATCAGTTCAGATGTCGCGGAAATCCAATGACGGTTACTGACCTCCGTATGTAGGATACGTATTATTTTTACCACTGTTTCTACGGCAGACTGAATGTCACACCAAATACCCACCAACCTCAAGTCAGCGGTGGATACAGGACAGACGACATTACTGTCAGTCATTGCTAGAGGACCGGTGGAAGACTGTCGCTCCTTCTAGAGCACGTGCTTAGACAGCGACCACACGTTGGTTCGAGCGCATGTCTGCGTCTCAATGGACATTGTAAAACCTTGGGAAGAAGACCACTGCAAGTGCAGCTTGACAATGAGTATCGAGACTACTTTCAGTGAGATGGATCGGCAGTTATCGGAACGAAACAATATCACTCATCCAAAAGAAGCGTGGCACTATTTCTAGTCTGCTAAAAAAAGTGTTGAAGACCGTAGCCGACACTGTTAAGAAAGAGCCTGTGGATCTCAGCTTCTTCTTTTGAATTAATGGATGCATGCGAAATCATCTCTGCAGACTGAGTAAAATGAAGAATAAATGCAACTCGAGCGTAAATTAAAAAATGTCGACCCAATGACCGCGAAGGCTACAGAGATGGAATGGACAGTGACGATATGAAACTTATATATATATATATATATATATATATATATATATATATATATATATATATATATATATATATATATATATATATATATATATATATATATATATATATAAGCAATCGGAAATCACGGCGGTGCCACAAGTTGGCGAACGCCAGGCGAACCCTTCGCATCTGTGCAGAGATTTCTTTGGTTACTGATTTCTCACGGCTTATATGGTTTCTCAAGCAAGAGAAGTGTTCAATGGACTCGACCACTTCCCTCTCCATTGTTAACCGGGGCACCGCTGAAGACGTCCTAGAGCAACTATTGGCACTTAGGTGGGTAGAAACCCCAGTATGCTCAGGAGACTGGATCTTGTCAGCACCTTCATCTAACAGGACTATGTCATCTGCGTATTGTAGATCTACAAAGGATTTGCTTGTGATTAGATGGCGAGAGGGAGGCCTCCATAAGAACCTCTATTACAAAATTGAACAATGGAGTTGGGATTCTTGACGGACACCACTAAATGTGTACAGCTTATCCGACAACTCATCATAGGCTCTAACGTCTAAATGTATCCCAGTAAAGACCCTTAAAAAGTGGTGCACTTTTTCGTCACCCCTTTCAGAGACTGCCGTAAAACTTCTCGGCCAACGAGTATTCACATAAAAGTACACCACTGAGAACTTGATGCAAACAGTTTGTTACACTAATAAGCATGACTCAAATGTAAAATTCGACTTCGTTTGGGCTAAACGACCCTTTTACTGACAACCATTAAACCAAGAATATTATTTTTGTAACGCAGAAACATGAAACAAAAAAAATAATCAACGCTTTGCCTAGATTCGAGTTTCTGGAGATTCGATAGCTAGCTCTCGTGGTCTTGCAGGTGTAGGTATAGCATTAAGCACCAGGGCAGAAAACTCACTACTAGACTGGATCCCAGTTGATAGTCGCCTCTGCGCTATGAGGCTGAACGGCACAGTGAGAACTAAAAGGAATAGTGAGACTCGCCGTTGTCTCTTTGTAATCTCTGCTTACGCACCCACTGACTGTAGTTCGGATGAAGTGAAGGACGAGTTCTACCATAAACTGTCTAACCTCCTCTCGAAAGCCAAACGTTCGGACGTAGTGGTTGTTGCAGGTGACCTCAACGCACAGGTGGGTAGACTGAGTGAGGCAGAAAGGCACTTAGGTGGCACTTTCGGAATCCCAGCTGAACGTACAGATAACGGTGATCGCCTATTACAACTATGCTCAGATAACCGCCTATTTTTAGCCAGCACAAATTTCAGACATAAAGAAAGGCACTGTCTGACCTGGCGTCCACCGAGCTCGACTCAGCGATGGACACAGATAGACCACATTGCTATTAGTCATCGCTGGAGAGGATCGGTGGAAGACTGCCGCTCCTTCTGGAGTACGTGTTTGGACAGCGATCATGCGTTGGTCCGAGCACGTATATGCCTGCGTCTCAATGGACGTAGAAAAAATTTGGCAACAAAACCACTACGAGTTCTGCTGGACAACGAAAACACCAAAGCCGTGTTCAGTGAGAAGTTGGCTAGGCAGTTATCGGAACAAAAGACTGTCACTCATCCAGAAGAAGCTTGGTGCCATCTTCAGTCTACTGTAAAAGCAGCACTGGAGACTGTAGCCGACTCCAAGATAATGGCTAAAAAGAGCCAGTGGATATCAGCAGCTTCTTCCAAACTAATGGATGCACGTGAATGCATCCCTGCAGGCTCTGAGTACAATGAAGAGCGAGCGCAACTTAAAAATAAACTGACGAAAAGTCTGCGCAACGATCGTGAACAGTGGTGGGCAGCAAAGGCTAAAGAGATGGAAAAGGCAGCGGCGATCGGTAACAGTAGACAGTTATTTAGACTTATTAAGGAGACTGGGGGGAAATGGTCAACAACAGTTAGTGAGGTTATAGCGGAGAAGGACGGATCGGCGATTCACTCGCAGGGAAGGCGACTGGGACGATGGGCAGAACACTTTGAGGAACAGTTTAACTGGCCTCCAGCCACCATTGCGCTGCCCGCTATCCAGTCGGACCCTGAATGGGACATAGAGACAGGTCCCCCAACACTAGAAGAAGTTGAGAAAGCGGTAGGTAGCCTGAAACGGGGAAGGGCAGCAGGACCAGACGGACTACCTGCTGAGGTATACAAGAATGGTGGTAGAGTTCTCTTAGTCAGGCTAACGGAAGTGTTAGCCAGTATATGGGAATCAAATACGATCCCCTCCGACTGGTCTAAGTCACTGATCATCCCAGTCTTCAAGAAAGGCGAGAAGTCCTCTTGTGATAACCACAGAGGAATCAGCCTGACAAACATAGTGTCTAAGATCCTAAGTTCTATAATTCTCCGACGCCTGAGTGGAGCTCGGGAACAGCAAGCCCGAGAAAACCAGGCAGGCTTTAGACCTGGCCGTGGATGTATCGACCAAATATTCACACTGCGCCAGGTCCTGGAACATAGGCATGCTTACAGACGCCCGACAATAGCTGTATTTCTCGACCTGAAGGCGGCATTTGACTCCGTTGATCGAGAAGTCTTATGGCAGTGTCTGTCACTGAAAGGCGTGCCTAGTAAGTACATCACCTTATTGAAAGCTCTCTACTCGAACACTTGTGGGCATGTTAGAGCCTATGGTGAGTTGTCCAGGGAGCTATACTCATCAAGTGGTGTCCGTCAAGGATGCCCACTATCCCCATTCTTATTTAATTTTATCATAGATATTCTTATGGAGGTTTCCCTCTCGTCACCTAATTACAAAGACGTTGACCGGATCACAGGTGAATTTTCCTTAGATCTAGAATATGCAGATGACATAGTCCTGTTAGGTGAAGACGCTGACAAGATGCAGAGTCTTCTGAACACTTTGAGTGGGAATTTGAGAATGTTTGGGATGCGATTTTCACCACCCAAATGCAAATTTTTGCTCCAGGACTGGTCTTCAGCGGTACCGCGGTTAACAATAGAGAGTGAAGTGGTTGAGTGTGTTGACCACTTCACTTACCTGGGAAGTAGGATCAACTCCGGTGGGTTAGTTGCCGATGAGATTTCTGCACGGATACAAAAGGCTCGATTGGCTTTTGCCAATTTGCGCCACCTATGGCGCCGCCGTGATATTCGTTTGTCTATTAAGGGTCGCGTGTACTGCACAGCAGTCCGCTCTGTTCTACTGTATGGCTGTGAAACATGGCCATTGAAAGTGGAAGACATGAGAAGGTTACAGGTATTTGACCACCGTTGCCTTCGTAGTATAGGACGTATTCCGTGGTGTCACCATGTGAGTAATGCAGAAGTTAGGTGTAGAGTTTTAGGGAGAAGAGGTAAGTCAGTCGACGAGGTTGTGAACCTTCATCGACTGAGATGGTTGGGACACGTACTACGTATGCCTAGTCACCGATTGCCTCGTCACACAATGTTGGCTGAGGTGGGTTCAGGCTGGAAAAAGGCCCGAGGTGGCCAGACTAAAACATGGCACCAATGTATGAAGTCTCTGACTGTTGGTTTAAGCCATGTAGGACGATGCAGACTAGGTGGTTGGGGTCCACGGGACAAGAGGAACCAGTGGTTGGAGACCCTAGGTGATATGGCTCAGAACCGAAGTCAGTGGCGCAGATGTATACACACATTATCCTCATCTTAACAACGCTATACCGAATCTCACTATTTTGTCACTCCTCTTTCCTTTCTTCTCATACTTTATATTTCTTTTGACTGCATTCACTTATCTTCATCCTTCACCTCACTACCTTTTTACTTGATGTGCTGATATGAGGTGTGGCAACTCGGACCGTTACGCAGTAATGCCTGGTCCTATGTTGATAATGATGATGATGATGATGATGCTAGATTGTTGTCAGTACTGAGCTAAGCTAATGTACCAAGACTAATCTTGTGAGCGAACTAGTGATACTGTCTGTCTAAACAGCAAGCAGAGGCTGAAAGTGGAGTGTTCGAACCAATGAACCACACATAGGAATGCCCAAAACAAACCACTTCATAGACCAAGCTCCAGATATGACTCATACCAAAATGAACAATCTGCAGTCTCGTACCTTCTTAACCCCGTAGGCAGTTACTGCTTAGTTCAGTAAAATGTGTCAAACTAAACGTAGTTCTAGTTTTCTATAACACAAAAGAAAATATACATAAACGAAATACAGTAGCCATAAGATAACTTACGTGTCAGAAGTTCATGTAAGTAAGGAGCCAGAATTTGATGAGCTGAAAGAAAGTTTGAAATGGTGATATGACAGTAACTAATATAAAAGCACGTATGCCTTGCAAATAGACCTAACTTACAGATGAGTAAAAATGCTTGTTCTTAACTAATGAGTAAGCCTACACCCGAAATTGTTTTAAAAAGCAAGTTTCAGATACTTTGTCTTTTATTGGATAGATAATATTAGCTGAGGTGGAGCCAGTAATCACAAGAAAAAAATTTCGGTGCGTGTTGCGTAAAGTAAACGAAACCTAAAGACGAAACTCGCTGCATCTTTACAGAAAGAGGAACAAAAACTGAAAGCTAAAAACTAATAGAAGGATCAGGATCTAAAGGGTGGTAAAATGGGAATGGACTCAACCTGATCGGTCTCGATTGACATCTGCAACTAAATGAGTTAACGATTTATGCACAAGCCAAAAAAATCTATAGCTTTTAACATGTCTTACTTAAGGTCGACACTTTTTGAATTTTCGATAGTATCATACCGTGTTGATTTCATTTAGATAACTTAGATTAACATATGCACTTTAAGTTGGTTCTTCTTGATGTCATCTTGAAATGACCATATCACGACTAGGTAAGTTGATGGAAGTTTATATTCATGTATCCAGAACTCTATGCTTCGTACATATGTTGCTCGCAGGAATATTCCATTAGACAATACTGTGAAGGTTCTGGTGGTCAAATAAATGTAGCTTTTACACATATCGTCACCGCAACAGTCATGTTTTACAAACATTGGAAATACAGCCACCGACAGACAGACAAATTCCTGTACAGTTAGCAGCGCAGGCTGATAAGAGTCAAATTCAGATGTAGTGCATCAATTACACCACGTAAAAAATCTTAGCCATATTTGAAGCTTTGATGCATTACAGATCACTCTTTTAACCTCTTATGCGGTAGGGATGAGTGCAAATTACACCAATTAGATCTTTGTCAAGGAAATTTGGTGACCAACTGTGGACACATCCAATAATCAGAAATATGTCGTCCGAGTACTGTAGGTTGATCAACTCATCTCAACAAAAATATCGATGGCTAGGAACTCAAAGTGATCTTTTGAGGTGAAAGTGGATGGGACTACATGAGTGACTGTTCATAGCGAACAGAGTACTTGCAAATTCTTATCTGGTAAGCCTAATTGGAGTGAACTCGAAGTCAGAAAATAGTGGGTTACGCCCGTTTAATGCAAAACAGGGGGCCGTGAGGCGTTAAACACGCGAAACATAAGAACGAATATACGGAGTGAGGGCAAAAATAAAAACCTGAATCGCGGCATGATTGGGACAGACGGTTGTCAGGCTGCCAGCTCGACGTTCTACCACCAGAACTACAAGACTCAGTAGCTGACCTAACTGCTAGTTTGTGCTTCACCTGTAAACGTTACTCCGCGTCAATTATACCACTCGGTCAAACCACGGCCTTCTCAAATAGTTTCACTGAAAAACTCGAACTTACCAGTTTCCTGGGATCTAACTAACTCAGAGAGACAAAGTGCAGCAAATGCACGGACAGGTAACTCCGAATCGAAGCATGCAGCTTTACGTACTTCATCAACAACTTGTGCAAGGATGTTTTGGTCACTGAATTTCGCGTCTGATAGTTTTTCCAACAATCTGTATGCTCTGGCACGACGATAACCTTCGGGAGCATGTAAGGTTGGTAGTACATGACCGACAAGAAATGACTCTAATTGGGACTAAAAGAAAATAATAATGATATGCGATGACATACTTTGTATGCGGCTTTCTTTAACAGAATTTCAGCAATCGCTGTACACATGTGCAAAACAGCATCTTTCTCAATGGGTGGACTGTCAGAACTTAGTATGTGGATACAGAATGGCATAACGTTATTTAACACACCACGGCGTTTAACACACGCCTGATTAAGGAGTGTGGATGCTGCATCAGGCAAGGAGCCCCACTCACCTACAAATAAAGCGACAGAATAACGCTATACCTGCTTCCGCTCGAATATACTCAATTGGATCATCTTGCCAAAGTTCTGCATCTTCTTCTGAATATGACATCAGAGGAAATATAACCTCGCGGACCAAAAGTGAGAAATGTGGCAGCAGTAACTTCCATGAAAATGAATGCCCTAATCTGCAAAATTAAGTTGAAGATTTGTGCCACTTACGCCGAGGAAAAGTAATCCAATGTTTGGCTTAGAACAGGTTTAGAGACAAACGACTTTTGCCTGTATACTTCACATATATTTAAAAGCACGGGAATTATTTGTCCCGAAAATGACTTGAGGTACCACTCTGCGAATGTTTGGTATCGCTTGGCGACAGCTCCAGGACTGCCATAGCTATAGGAAATCATATCTCAAAACTGAAATCTTACCGAGTCAGAATCCTGTACAGTATTCTTATCGCCCATTTCTTCAACTTCCACACGTAGTCCGATGGGTCGGAAACAGTATTTTTGAAATTACCTAATATCGTGCATAACATATCAATCCAACGTCCAAATAACTGAACAACAATTATAAAGCACATATAAGGCATACTTCTTTTTCCATCGCATCCAACGGGAAATGGTATTTGATGAATGCATTGAAGATTTTAATGATGAGCGTTTGAAGTATGTGCGAATTTTCAGACTCTTCTCCAACGAGATTTGATAAAGTTGAATACAAGATTGGGAAGAAACCTCGCATTACAGAAACCACTTCTTGTGGCTCATCATTCTTATTGTAGGTGTAAGTACCAACAAAAGAGTGAAGACAAATTAAAGCTCCTCGCAAGTGGAGATGATCGCTGGATAGAATGAAATGCTTAACTTGCTCAGGAAACTCTTGAAGACGTACAGGAAAATCAGATCTAATTATTTTTGACAGAGCCACCTGAAGATGCGCCCTAATTTGTGAGGTTGCTACAGTACAAAGACTTACTGCAAGGGAATTGGGGCAGAAACAATAGCCGCAACTATTGATTCTCTTACAACCTGTTTATCTTGTTCATGTATACTGAACTTCAACTCGGTGGAATCTTCAGTATCTGTTGCCTTCCACCACTCAGAAATGTTGTTTTTAAAATACAAAGTAGCTGCTTGTCGGACACCCACATCGACGGTATCCTCCATAAATATCTTCATCAAGGTGGGAACGAACCCGATAATCTTATGCATCTGCACAGTCTAAAAAAGCGGGACTTAATTACCTCATTGAGTGTTTTTGTTCCATTTTCTTGCTTTTCCGCAGAGAGCGTATAGCTTAGAGCCTCAACAACCCTTGTGGGATCCATACTTATACAACCACCAAAACCAACGTGACAAATCCCATACAAACTGGACCGCCTTACCACCCAGTGATGTAAAACAAACTCAGTACAACTACAGTTCACCAATTACAAGATACTTCAAACTTTTGAACTCTAACATCTAAATCGAAGGGCTCGGTTTTTCTCACCTTTACTCGATCAGCGCATATAGAAGTTGTTTCTGCTGTTGTGTTCAACGTTTTGGAGTTGGTGCTTGTCCAAAAGGGAACGTTTTCTCCTTTAGTGACTTGTAGGTTGTGTGCTTTGTATCTTGCAAATTTGTCTATAATAAAAATAAAAATTGTTGCTTCCCAAAGGTTCGCGTGTTAGAATAGAAGGGAGAATTGGAGTTACGAAGTTAGTCTTTAAGTATAGTAGGTCGGTTGTTTGTTTTATTCTTGTTAGTTGCGATGCTACAGAGATCATATGTCTCCTTGGAATTATCAAAAGAATTTACGGACGCCGTGGCCTTGGTAACAGAGTTCCATAGATTCACAGAATTGCACAAGAGATGGGTTTCTAGAAGGATCTGATTCTATGGTGCTTTATAAACCTTTCGATTCTGTCCTCTGTGTTGAACAGCCCTGGAAAGATGAAATAAGTGATATACATTGTTGCATAAATCTCTCGTCAACATACGATAAGCTGGGGCGAGATCGCTCATCATACGGCAAGACATTAGTAGGCTTTCGGGAGCCTTTTGTATGGACTACAAGATTTCAAAGCCTCTGGCATCTACCCACCTTCAATTAGATGATGGCAACTTATTACAGCAGGAACATATCACAGATCTAGTAGCTTTGTTTATCTCTCCGACTATGTCGTATGACTACGCTGTAAGTGACTTAATTTCTGCACACCAGCTTGTTAGGCTATTTTCCAGAGTGGTTGGATGGTCCTTTAGCGTTAGCCAAACATCATCACTGAATGACTTTGTAGTTGGGCCTCGTCTGCCAGCACGTGGACAGAAGAGTGAGTCTGCCTGAGATACCCAGTCGCATAGAGTGGGGGGAAAAGCAAATGTAAGTCAGCGTCTTGAAGCATTTTGTTAGTTTTCTCAAAGATGGAACTCCGTTTACCACTTGTCTGCCAGCCGACGCGAAGAAAACTCTTTGACCCAGTTCCCAGCTGCATCAATCCTTTAGCTCGGCGCCTTATTCTGAAGAATTAGGTGATAGACAATATGAAACTCTCCTTTTGAAGTCAATAAACATCACACCACCATACCACTACACCATCTTTACTATAAAATATTACACCAGTTGGAACATTCACGTCGGTGGTGGCAGGCCAACGCCCAGTTGAGGTTTGTCGGAAATGAGAGACCCCTCGTAAGTCCGTAATTCCAGTAATAAGCGGCCATTTCTCCAGACACGCAATCAAAAGGCGTCACGGATGATTTTTCCTAAGTGCCTACAGATCAGACTTGTTGCTTTAAGCAGGCAGTAGCTGGTCACATGTGCTTACGACCAGTTTCGCAAATCGAAGTTAGAGCACAGTCCACTCAACTCTGGGTGATATCGATTTACCAAGTAACATGCTGAACAGTCAGCATGGTGGTTCGGCAACGAAACGCAATAGTGCCGAGAGTTTTCCAGGAATTCCTCATGTCGAAGTGCTGCAGCAGCCTTAAGACAAACCCAATGAACCTTAGGTGCCTCCGAGAGGCATCACCTTTGACAGCAGTTTCTCATTGCGTCATACAACCATACAGTAGAAGAGCCAATGCGAGTTTAAACGTCGCAGGGGATATCATTTCCCTCTAGGTTCCAAAAACGCCCACCGTGCGGTGCTGTCAAGCGAGAACTCTAGCTGTAGGGCTCTCTGCAAACCAACTAACTTCTATCAGGGTAAATTGTGATATTGGCTCGCCTACTTTGGTGTCCGTAGCAGGAGACCCCTGGAGGCAATCTATAAGCATTCAGAACTAAGCGACATGAAAGCAGTTGCTCCCAAACCATACGACATGGTATCGGACTTACAAAGAATGTTTTGGTAAAATATTTGGATGAAGCCTCAACATTCAGAATCGGTACCAGGCGCTACCACTGAATTTTCATACAGATACAGGACTGAGATGTTTTCCGTCTTGTGAATTCTACTCCTAAAGTACAACACAACACCATTATTGATTTATTTCTGAGACAGACGACACTTACAGGAAGGACTAAGCAAGCTGCGCAAACAACTGAAAAGAATGTACTACCGGATTCACGGTGAAAAACGCAAGGTACAGTGCTGAGGATGGAATGAAGGACTAGTGGTGCCAAAAAGTCCCCCCGAATCAATACCCTATGGTTCGGCGAGATTCAACTTTGATGCTGACCTCTGTAACTTTAACGGACCTGTTCAGCTGAAGGTACGTGGTTGAACACACGACTAGCTAGTCTATTGTATCCTTTATTGGCCTCGCATTCGAGAGTATGCAGGAAGTATGAACAGTTAGTGAATGGTCCCTATAACGGTCAAGAACCCGATTGTTCTCCTCCTTTGGGCGACGAATATTACAAGGTGAGTCAGCTAAGCCGCATGCTTGTAAACAGTCAGTCTTAACTCGCTCTAGTGGGGACTTGTCAGGGGTGCTGGTGACTACCGAATTGTAGGAGGATCGCGTTCGGTTGCTTACCTCACTGGCTACAAAGTCAACCAGTCTCTCGCATTTTATTGAACCATCAAGTGGGGAGCAACTTTTGGGGTCTAACAAATCCATCAGTGGTAGAAGATATTCCATTTTACGCTGCATATTTCTAACTGTCTTTGAGATTTCTAAATCATCGGACTTGACTTTATTAACACCGATGTAGATGTCAGTCATAAGGTCTGGTAACTTAAGTGACGGACCACAGTTGCGGTGGAACTTTTAACCTTAGGCGATAGATCAGATAATTTTGGCCTTTTCGCTCTGATACTCTTATTTCTATGGAGGCTACTGACACTTGTTTTCACTCTCGGAAAAGCAAGCAAGAAGCGTTAAAGATATAAATAATGCTATTATGTTAGACAAATAGTTAACGAGTTGAATAATAACATATTAGATATCAGTCAACTTCAATAACAATAACTTTCCTTGCTAGCTTATAAGTATTTTTCAATAAGTGGGTGACACTCCAACTGCCTTGAAGTCGAGATGGATCTAGTTGACTTCAGCGTTTGAGAGACAGGTTCAGGGCTTCTTTATGTTGCTTATGGTTTGAGATTTGTAGAACTTGTAGGGAGATATGTACACCCTCAAGAGATTCAACGTTTTCCAGGAGTCAGATAGCAGCCAGAAGCAGCAGAAACGAACAGAATTTCCTTAAACACGAGGGAAACGAGAGGTTGCCTCGGGTTCGTAAGCCGCGGGCGATTTGTGTTATCGTTATTATCACACTATTTATGCTGTCTGAATTGTAGCGCATTCTTGTGAATCGACGGAACAAACGTTCTAACACTTCGTAGGTGGCCTTTTCCACGGTTTGGGTTTTGTCCACGTATATGTCAACGATTATCTCATGAGAAGTCCAGATGAAGAAAATCACGTTAAACATTTGAACCTCACATTCCGCATACCGCGAAAACACGGTATCACAGCTCGCACTCAAGAATGCCAATTAGTAGTCAACTCGATCGAAATCCTTGTGCATTCTACGGACAGCTAAGGTACATGCTATTCTGGACCATCCGGAGCCAACCGGTGTAAAGTAGCTTTGCAAATTCATGGGCATGACAAGTCATTACCCAAAGTTTATTTCCAACTGCGTCTGTCTCATGAGACCACTCATGGATCTATTCTGAGGGAATATTGGGTGTATGACACTAAATAACGTGACTATGTGGTTCAGAGGCTTGGCCTATTCGCAACAAGCTGCAGGTATGCATCACATCAGCAGCTGCCTCCTGCGCACGCTCGACACTGGAGATCAGGTGGCCAGAATAATAAGAATAAGCAAAAACGTACTCTGGCCTGCAACGGACCAACCAGCCAAGAAGTCGTTTCTCAACAGGTATGTGGAAGAAAGTCAAGGTGGATTGCATTAGACACGCTGAGAAAACCGTTTGGAGACATCACGCCGAGGCCCTGTAGTGGAACTCAAGAGCGAAAGGACGAGTTGGGAGTCCCAGGTGAGGGCGGCATGGAGGAGGTCGTGCGGAGAAGAAATGAGAGCTTCTGAGCAGCTATGGAGTCAAGTTAAGAAGATTGCAGAGAACACAGTGAAATGGTGGCGTGCTACCGAAGCCCTATGTTACACTGGGAACCCAAAGAAAAAATTATTATAATGTAAGCCAAAGAAAGCTGTCCCAAACACAAATGTGCACGCACATTACGGCCCTAACGCTCTTTTGTACGTTACTGCTGATGTCCATGACTCAGAAATCTGCTCAGTTTTGCAACGGCTGACTGGCAATCAGTGGCAGTCACAGGACTCTCCTCCAGGTGGCTGCAGGAGACGGAAACAGGGTAAAATACGTTTAATTGGGAGTACTGTCTTGTGCACGATTTTCGACATTCATTTCAAAGTTGTGATCTCACTGTTTCCGCGGACCACGAACCGCTAACCCTATTTCTCAGCTCAGCCTCCCATAAATACACCTCGTGTGAGTCACGACAACTGGACAACCTTTCGTGGTTCATACTGGGTATCAACCACGTTTCTGGAGCAAACAACTTTGTACCCGGTGAGTTGTCTTGAACATCTTCCGTAATGTATTGACGACTATGATCCTTTCAAATGGGCTTGGTCTGAAAGAGAAGACCTTTCGCTGGGCCCCGACTTATCATCCACAGCTGTCAAGCTACAACGGCGTCTAGCAGGGTGGGGCACAGATGCCATTTTATGCGATGAATATGCCGGGCAACTGATTTTAACAGTTCACGCAGGTGTTCAAGCCGCCATCAGGCTTATTGTACGACGCTTCTGGTAACTTTTGATGAACAAAGACGTCAAATGGTGGGAATAGTCGTGCGTAGCCTGCAAAACGTTTAATAACGTGCTGTAGATGCAAGGTCCTTTGGGGTCTCTTCCAGCCTCATATGCGTGTTTCAGCCGCATCCACATTGATAATACAAGAGCTC